TTCCTCATCCTTAGTTACAATGTCCCCCTCCACATCCAATAAAAGATGGAGATTTTTCTTGGCCCTCTTTTTGTTGTTAATGTGTTTAGAGAAACACTTTTATTATCTTTCACAGCGGTGTCCAGATTGAGTTCTAGCTGAGCTTTTGCCTTTCTCATTTTCTCTCTACATGACCTAATTACATCCCTATACTCTTCCTGAGTTGCCTATCCCATCTCCCAAAGGTCATAAACTCTTTTTGTCCCAGAGTTCCAGCAAAAGCTGGAGCCAGTCTTCTTCCCCACTGACTTGTCTTTCTGCACATAGGGGCGACCTGCTCCTGAGCCTTTCAGATTTCCATCTTTAAGTATGTACAGCCTTCCTGGACTCCTTTGTTTTTAGTGGCTGCTTCCCAAGGGACTCTCTGAACCAGTGTCCTGGGTAGGCCAAAGTCTGCCCTCTGGAAGTCCAAGGCAGAGGTTTTGTTGATGCCCCTCCTTACTTCACCAAGAATCAAAACCTGTATCATTTTGTGGTCACTGTGCCCAAGATGGCCTCTGACCACCCCATCTCCCACCAGCCCTTCTCTGTTTGTAAAGAGCAGGTCTAGTGAGGCACGAGGTAGACTCACTTACCAACTATGTCAGGAAGCTACCTTTCACACACTCTAAGAACTCCTTAGACTGCCTCCTCTCCAGCGTGTTGCATTTCCAGCAGACATCTGGCAAGTTAAAGTCTCCCACAAGAACGAGGGCAGGCAATCATGAAACATTAGCCAGCCACTCAGTTTCATCCACCTCTTCATCCTACTTGAGGGGTCTATAACAGACTCTCACCAGGATATGTGCTGTGTTGAGCTTTCCTCTGATTCTTACCTATGGGCACTCAACCTCATCATCACTGTCCTTGGGCTCTATACAGTTGAAACACTCCCTAATGTACAGAGTCACCCCACTGTCTCTCCTTCCTTGTTCTGTTATTCCAGGGTACACCCAAGCAATGTGTAAGAGTGGAGCTGTTGCTGCCCTATGCCCCCAGCTCAGTAGAGCAGCCCAGAGAATGTGCAGTACAACACTATTGGCTTCTTCCTGAACACAGTAAGCTAACTAAACAAAATATTCAGTGTCTGATTGGCAACATGTAGGTCACCAAATACATTTTCATACAGAATATCTGTAAAACAAAAGCCAATCTTTCAAAGTTTATTAGCTGCAGGACCAGAATATGCTGAGTCCTTGCTGAGCTAGAATGGGGAGCCTTGAGCTCAGTGTCCCTGCTGCAGGTTGTCCACAGACCCAGACAGGGAGCACTGACTCAGCTCATGGTAAGTTACTGGTTTTTAGATTCACTTTTAATCCCCTGAGCCTTAGAGTCAAACACGTGGGGCACCCCTTCCACAGGCAGATACTTCTCAAGAAGTACTCTTCTGTTTTCACACAAGGCACCTGGGGTGTGTTTTTTCTCTGCCCCAGTTTTTCTTCTGGCCTAAAGAGTTGGACTCGATGATCTCTGAGGTCTTTTCCAACCTGGTTGGTTCTATGATTCTATGATTTCCTAACCTTTGTTTCCTCCCTATTTTCAAACAGACTTTTATGGCAAGCACAGGCACCAAGATCTGCTTGCAATTGCAGTTCGAAGCCTGCATTTTGAAGGGGAGGCTATTCAACTTGGATTTGTGGGTTTCCATGTTCTCAAGTAGAGAAGGCCATCAAATGCACCGTTTATGTCCTGGATGAGTTCTCTAACCATTAGTGCCTCTCATACAGTATGGTGTTTGTTGTTGTTGTGTTTTTTTAATTAAAAAATCTCAATCCCTGCACAGTTTAGTAAGTATAATATTAGTGTCTATCTCCAAAGAAAGTTATGTGCAATGGTTTTGGCTGCCCGATCCTCAGATTGTAGGTTATTTTTAATCTCCATTCTGAGATTTGTACCTCTTTCCAAAGCATGGGGCAGGGAAACCAAACCCATAACTGTGCTCCAGATACCACTCCAGGGACCTAAAATTAAATATTGAAAAATATTTGCCCACATGTTTTGTCTCGTTCTTACCACTGACATTGGCCTTTAAATTAACTTTCTCTAGTCCTTGTAGCTACTGCTGAGATAAAAATAGCCCTAAGGACATTAAGGAGAGTTTTCATTCACGACTCAAGTATGATCATTTTGTGTTACCTCAGTATCGAAGAACTAATACTTATTGCAGGATTTCTTCTTAATCAGGAATGCAAAATATCAAAGCCAAATGCCGACTGAGCCCTGTCGCGCTGGACGGAGCTGCCTTATTGCTTAGGACCAGTAGATGGCAACCACCTATTGCAGTGTCAAAGGTAAGTGAGAGTTGCTCAGGTAGGGGATTTATTAGGTGACGGCTTGAGCAGCAAAGCTCTGCTACTGCACACACAAGAAAGCAGTCCTTGTAGTTTTTACTTCTCTTTATATGTGTCTTTTGAAGGGGAGCAGTGAGATGCCCTTTCACATAGTCAGTTTTGACAAATTACAATTGTGACCATCCATTTGACTAAAATACCTTATGGCTGCTCCTTGTTGCTAATACCAGTCAAAAAAAGAACAAGACAATGGGGATAAATTCCAAAGCAATCAGACTGCCTTAGCTTTCACAGGAATAGCCTAAAGTTCTTATCATGATTAATTAGATTCATTATTACTTTAGGTGGAAACAGAGCTGAGTAACAATGATCCTGGGATCGGAAATAGACTTTCCTTTAGGAACTGACTGAGGCTATTGACGTACCAGTTAATTAGTTCTGGTTATATGAGTGGCCTTACAGATATTTCTTTGACATGATCAAGTCTGAAAAAATTCTATTTTTTTTCTACAACATTGGATTAAAAGTTATTCTTATCTAGGAGCAAGAACTGTGAAGGTTTGAAAAGATCCCCTCCAAGAACCTTGCATTTACACTTCAGAAAAGAAGTTCCTTCATTAAAACAGGAGAACAGTTATGGAAATATATCTGTAACCTATCCTACCTATAGTCATAGTAAGGCTTCCTTTGGCACCGATTTAACCATCATTTGTGAATACATTTTCAATTACTATTGTTATACATGTATGGATGCATATCAAAGTAGGGTGTCTGTAGTGCAGAAAAACCCCAGACCTTTAGACCTCTGACGAATTTCAGCATCAGCTAACACTGTGATTAGCAATTTAAAAAAGAATACACTACAAATAGCTAAACCAGCCAAGAACAAGAGCACTGTCACTTAGTAGAAGTAAAACAAAATGCTCTGCATTACTGGGATGCCTTCCTCCAAGTTCTCAACCACTTTGCAAACCATTAACTTGAAATGCATTAACTTGCACTCTCTTGCAGTACAAGGGGTGTGTTTATTCTCAGAACTTACACCTTTGATAGGAAGGTTTACAAAACCAACTTGACAGATAAAGTAAAACCTTTTGCTTGTGTTACAGCTAGGGCTGGATCAGCTGTGAATTATTGTAAGTGACTTTGAAATTAGGTGAAATCCAGCTGGGATCCATTTCCTAGTGAATACAAGTGAGATGGTACTAGGAATAGCTTCTAATATCCCTTATGGAACCCACCAAACTTTTCTCATTATTTCCTTAATCTAGTAATAAGATTTATACTGTGAAAAAAACCCCTACTCTTTAATGAGATCTGAGGGTTTTTTCTTCTTGAAAGAACTTAAAGGCCTTCAACCTGATGCTAAAATTTGAGCAACTTTATTTGCCTTAACATGAGAAATTATGTGACTTATATATGTTCCTTTCTTGTGAATCAATGAGTTTTGTTAAGGGTCCAAGAGTTATCTTGGACTCTTCTTGCAGAGAATTGCAAAGCTAGTGAGATGATAATTTAAAAAAAAAAAAGCATGGAAAGATAAATCTAAATGATTTAGAAGGAATTTTTAGACAAACAATAAAAATACTACTCTGTTTATAGTTATCCTTTTTTAGCTCAAATGTTTGAGGAGGACAGATAGTTTTAAAGATTCAAGGTCTGAGGTTGCCATGAAGGGCTGAGGAAGGTCTCACTCCTGTTTCTGTTACTTATCACAATAGAAGTCTGCAAGAGACCACCAAGGACAGTAACTCTCCTTTACAGCTGCACTCAGTAAAGTTTAATTCAAGTTCAAAGGAATCTGTGTGGAAATTCCCTTCTGCTCAGTACTTCATACATATCAGAGATCACAAAATACATCCTCATGCTCTGTAACCATATTCAGATTTATAGCAGAACCCACCTCAAAGTCTGGAATTTTACATGTTAGATATTTAAGTAGGGGCCAGAGGCATTTCCAAAAGCTTGTGCTGCGTTTCTCTCGGGTGTGCACTGAATGGGTATATGGTGAGATGTGACAAAGTGCTCTGAAGAATATGGTGTGGCTAGAGTGTGCACACCTCATGGATATTGAAAAAAAAGTCCTGCAAAAATGTGATTGCAGCCTTTTCACTCTCCTCCTGCACTTTCTAAAATTTGAAAAAAACTAAAATTGCTCCCCAACTACTGTCTTCAATTAAGATGCTGAAAATGTTTCTCATTGAGCAAAGCCACAGCACATTGTCTGGCAGACTTGTTTGTTTGATAATATTATAGTGGAAAATGAAAATATCATTGAGCACTGAAGCAGGTGCCTGAGCATTGGCTTTTCATCAAAGAGTAAAGTACAGATTTACCAGATCCTTATTTCAGATGTCATTTGCAGCATAATTTGAAGGAGAGATAAGATGGGACATAGTCCAGTAAGGTGCTGAATGATTCTGTGGTGGTGCTGGACACTATCATTGCCATTGCTTAGAATGAGATTCAGAGGTAATCAAACTTGGCAGGATCTGAACCATAATAAATTACCAAGATAAGATGGGTAATGAAAGAATGTGAAATGCAGAAAGTAAGTTTGTATTTCTTGCCAGCACTCGGTGTGACTTTTGTAATTATTAACTTAACCCTAAAAGCCTGAGATAGTCCTTTTTCAAATGCCTCAGTCGTATTCCTTAGTATCTTCTAACAACATCTCCTAACATTTCCACAATGAGGAAGAGGAAGACAACAGATTCACCTCATTCATCCACAGATCTGAGTGAAGGGAAGGAGAAACTAAGACTGAAGCAAGAGGTTGGCCTGATTAGTGGAGTGTCATTAATTGTAGGCACTATGATAGGCTCAGGGATCTTTATGTCCCCTGAGTGGGTACTACATCATATGGGGAACCCTGCCAGCAGCCTGCTTATCTGGGCAGCATGTGGTCTCCTGGCCATGTTTGGAGCCTTGTCGTACGCTGAGCTTGGAACGATAATTAAAGAGTCTGGAGGAGAATATATTTACATCTTGAGAATTTTTGGTTCTTTTCCTGCTTTCCTTTTTGCCTACACTTCTGTCATCCTGGTGAGACCAGCTGGTTTGGCAGCTGTCTGTCTGAGCTTTGCTGAATATGCTGTTGCACCATTCTACCCAGGATGCTCATCTCCGCAGGTTGTCGTCAAATGTACAGCTGCTGCCTGCATTCTCCTTTTAACTATCATCAACTGTCTCAACGTGAGGCTGGCAACATCTGTTATGAACATTTTTACAGCTGCCAAACTCTTGGCTTTGTTGGTGATCGTGGTGGGTGGATTGGTGCTACTTGCCAAGGGACAAACTCAGAGTTTTCAAAATGGTTTTCAAGGCACGACTGCAAGTATCGGGGCAGTTGGAGTGGCGTTTTACCAGGGACTCTGGTCCTATGATGGGTGGAACAACCTGAACTATGTAACTGAGGAACTGAAGAAGCCTGAGGTGAGTGAGTGAGATGGATTTTACTTACTTAATCCTATGGTTAATATGTTTGATTCTATCTATGATAGTGTTAGGAGTTATAATCCAGGGATTTACAGTGAGGGTGGTGAGGCACTGGCACAAGTTGTCCAGAAAAGTTGTGGATGCCCCATCCCTGGAAGTGTTCAAGGCTAGGCTGGACAGGGCTCTGAGCAACCTGGTGTAGTGGAAGGTATCCCTGACCATGGCAGGGAGATTGGAATTAGATGATCTTATCTTTAAGGTCCAACCAAACCATCCTGTGATTCCATGAAAGCACTAGAATACCCAGTTGACTGCAAAAAAAACTATTAGGCAGCACTTGGATGCTTTGGGGGTGAATTTTTGTCTTAGTGTTTAGAGAAGCGCACTCTAGACAGATAGATTTATTCAATAAAGCACTCACTACTATAATCTGTAAAGGTTTATTAACACCACATATTCCCTGAAAGACTTGATCCTGTGATTCCATGAAAGCACTAGAATACCCAGTTGACTGCAAAAAAAACTATTAGGCAGCACTTGGATGCTTTGGGGGTGAATTTTTGTCTTAGTGTTTAGAGAAGCGCACTCTAGACAGATAGATTTATTCAATAAAGCACTCACTACTATAATCTGTAAAGGTTTATTAACACCACATATTCCCTGAAAGACTTGATCCATAATGTATGCAACAAAAAAAACACTTTATCTCTCCTCATTGCATGGAGGGGCAACTTCAGAGCAAGCCAAGCCCCACTGGAGAGGGAATCTGACTCCCTGATTGATCCTTGTCTTTAAACATCTATTTTTTTGGCATTGTTCACTCCATACTATAGGCACTGAAGTAGCTTGCCTGCATCTCACATCAGCCTTCTCTGTGCCATATTACTTTTCACAGATCAGACACTACAGCAGTGAACAACTCTATTTTGGAAAGAACTCTGAGAGTGCAGAGCGTATAGAGTGTGTTTTCTACCAGTGCAGCACACAAGATACTACAGATTAAATGAAAATACACAGTTAAATATTAACCTAAATGGCAGCAAAGATCCCAGGTCCATGTGGCACTCTCTCCCACAGAATCGTGACCACTGATATTCAGGCCCTTGCAGGGTGGAGGAAACAGCATAAGGAATTGCTGTATCTTGTCCAATGGTGGGAATGGGGAATGCAAAAATTGATATTTCAGGTTCTTTCCTCGTTGCTTTTTCCCAGTATTGTCAGTTGCATAAGGCACTGTTGATTTATTGAGCCTTTAAATGATCCTGTGCTGTTCTAAGATAGCATCCTGTCACTAAAACAAAAAAAATAAATTCATTCCTATAGCAAATCCCTTTTGAGATCAAAACACTGCTGTGATCTAACCTGTAGAGGGGTTAGATGTGATATACACACTGGAACTTCATCCATGGCAGTGGGATGTTTATGGGAAGATGCAGCACAGCAGGACACATAACACACTAGTAACAAATAAATTAATGTTAAAGTCATCAAGAAGTACGCAACAGACATCTTGGGCAGCTATTAAGCAAAATCTTTTTAATAAGATTTGGTGGGTTCTTTTAATTTGGTTTGTTTTGGTTGGTGGGTTGTGGGGTTTTTTTAGACTAACTTTGGAAATGTACAACCTTACTGTTTGCCTGACTTATTTGGGAGTGACAAAACCAAAACAAACAAAAAAAGCCCAGTGCAGGCATAAATGTGCTGCACCTAACACTGCTGTCATCCCTTTTCCAGGTGACCCTTCCCAGAGCTCTGATGATTGCCATTCCTTTGGTTACATGCCTGTATTTGCTGGTAAACGTGAGCTACTTAGCAGCCATGGCTCCCTCTGAACTGCTGTCTTCAGGAGCTGTGGCCGTCACTTGGGGGTGAGCTCTGCTTGTGGCAACACAACCAGTGCAGCCAGGGGTTCTTTCCCAAGCTTCAGGAGATTTAGGTGCTATTCCCCAAGGAGATGGCAGCACTGGTCAGGTCAGGCCAGGAACATCTATCAGGCCATGTTACAGGGAAGACAATGAAAAAGAGGGCAATGAGGATGATCAGAGGGCTAGAGCACCTCTAGTATGAAGAGAGGCTGAGAGCTGGGGTTGTTCAGCCTGGAGAAGAGAAAGCATTGGTTGAACCTTATAGCATCCTCTAGTACCTAAAGGGCTACAAGAGAGCTGGAGAGGGACTTTTTACAAGGACATGGAGTGATAGGACAAGGAGGAATGGCTTTAAACTAAAACAGGGCAGGTTTAGATGAGATATTAAGAAGAAATTCTTTACTGTGAGGGTGGTGAGGCACAGGTTGCCCAGAGAAGTTGTGGATGTCCCATCCCTGAAAGTGTTCAAGGCTAGGCTGGATGGGGCTTTGAGCAACCTGGTCTAGTAGAAGGTGTCCCTGCCTATGGTGTGACGGGGTGGTTTGAAACTAGATGATCTTTAAGGTCCCTTCCAACACAAACCATTCTGTGACTCTGTGAAGCATTCTGCCTGTCCCAGCTCTGTCACCTACAGGGCAGTGTATGGCCTTCCCCCACCAAAGGTCAAGGCTGATCATCTCCATCTGCCCCATGGTCTCCAAGATGCACACCCCTTACTCCCCATTCCAATTCATTCACACTGGGAACCTCTGGCTCCCCTCCAGCTCATGTTTTCCCCCATGGCAAGAATCCGTGAAGAGATGAGGGACATAGCAGGAGCATTTCCCCGTAGACACTGGGAATGCAGCAAGGGTACATATCCAGACCTGGGGACTGGGAGATGCCTCACATTTTAGGTATTTCCAGGGAAATGGAGAGGACAATGGGCTGCTCCACTAATGCAGAGGCAGTAGGTTTGGAGTAAAACACGAGCTAACTGAGTAAATCCTGTCTGCTTGGCACCTGGAAATTAGAGCAGACCAGAGTCTTTTGATTCAGTTTCTCCATCTGCAGGCAAATGGAAAATGACACTGATCTCTACCACACTGTTGTACAGAAGTTGGGTGGCCTTTGATGGCTGTAACTTTAATTGGCTTGTGCTTGTCCAGAGCACAGAAACTGTTCGTACCATCCATCTATCTGAAGTGTTTGGTGATATTAAACAGTTTCTCCAGTCAAGGAATTTAGGCAGAGAACGAAGGGACCATCATGAGAGAAGTAGGCACCATTGATGATCTTCTACCAGAACATCCAGCCTTAGTCTAAATATTTCCAAAGACACAGAATCCCTGACAGCCCTGAACAAGTTGTCTGGCAGAAATGATGACACAGTGTATCCACAGATTATGTTGCTTCTCATCCTCTTCCTAAAAAGTCAGCAGCAGCTTTGTTTCTCTGTGCATTTCACAAGATCTCCAGTTTGAAGTTCTGACTGAGCTCTTGCTGGATGTGTTCTTTAATAGCCTTTCATGTCATTATAAGTAGGAGCTTTTAAAAGTCTAGAGCTTTGTTTGAGCACATTACAAAGCCTCACTAAGCTGCAGTGTCATGAACTTTCATTGCATGTCCTTTCCCATCATTCCTGATTAACAAGTTATTTGTGAGCTTCCTCCTTTTTAACACATCTCCTTTTCCTGCCTAATTAACCTTTTCACCCAAGAGTGCAATTCAGGAAGAAATATTGAACTAGCAACCTGAAAGTTGGGCACTCAAAAGCCTGGAGGACAGGTAGGTAGCCAGAGGCTGAGGAGGGGTAATGGCTGTGTATCATGGGCAAGACATGCAGCTACTCAGGCCATTAAGAAAGGACAGGCAGAGTATATAGAAGCCAGAGGAGGACATCACATTTAAATACATTTATTCCATGTATAAGAAGAAAACTGCCAGAGAGAAACACTGTTCAGTGGTGCAGCCACAAGAGGAGCTCAGGAAACTTTCCCCAGCATTTCTTTGATGACAGTGGTTTCATAGCAACTGCAGGTCTCAGTTTGCTTGTAAGAAGCTGCACACAGAAGCCCCTGTAGTTTATTTTCACAGTCCAAAAAGCAAAGCACCAATCTCATAAATGCAAAGTACACAAATGCTAAGGATTTCATTATTAATTTTGCACTATATGTTATTGAGATCTTGTGATTATGAAGTTGCATGATCATAGGAGTGGACCAGATTCCATAAATTTAGTTTGGTTTCACTGGGCCAATGCAGCCCTGTGAAATACTGGTTCTCACTTGAAACCAGAAGGACCATAACCCAGATAGTAAGCTTCTAAACTACCTATTTTTTAAAAAAAGAAATTATTGTGATAGATAAGCTCTTGCCCTGATTTTCAGAAGCCCAGCTTTTGATGTTTTCAACAGTTGGGATAGGTGCTAATAAAAATGACTACCTATGGCTTAAAGACATACAGCTCAGGTGGAAATATATAAAGTCCTTTTAAAAAGTTTTGAGTTTTGTATTTTTGCCAGTTAGATGAACAGTGTGTGTGTTTCTGTATGTGTGTGATAATTACCCCAAACACTAGCACTTATTAATTAATACTCTTCATGCTGCTTCATACCAGAAGACAATCTTCACTTTTAGGTGAGAAGATTATCATATCTTCTAAGTGTTTGCCTTGAACTTTGTAACTTAGCTGTAACTTCTACAAACCCTGTAACTTCTTCTGTTATGGAGAAAACAAACCAGAAATGTCTGAACATGTTGTAGAACCAAACTTCTGGAATTCAAACCATTGTTTTGGTTTAAGCCTGATTCACAGAGTGGCAGAAATAGGTGCATATGGGATTAAAGGATTAAATTCTTATGCATATTGAGAAAGAGGTTATCATGCAGAATATTTATTCTGGTGTGATGGGAACAGTTTTTCTGTGATTTCCAAGCTAATATTGTTGGCTGTGATAGCAGTATCTCTGGGCTGTGTACCACAGCCATCTGTACTCGAAAAAAGGGGAGTTTGCCTGTTGTGACAGCTTTGTAGACCATTGCAATGTGGACCGATGTAGATATATATACACACCAAACAGGAAGAAAAGCTGTCTTTTCTGGACAAGACAAAGTTACTAGTCACTAAATACTATGGGAACTGGAAGAAGACTTTAAATCATTACAAAGACTTTGGAAAAAAGTCAGTAAGAATAATGGAACTTGTCTGGTTCTACAGTGCGTACTTGATACATCTAGGATCTGCATCTTATGCTGTGAACTC